TCAATAAATAAAATAAATTATACCAAAAAAGGAGAATGAAAAGTTGTAAGTCTAAAAATGTAGAAGAGGCTATTCAAGTTGGACTGGGAAATAGTGAAGGTACTTCCATCCCAGGAAGTAATTGCTATAAGACAGTGGAGGAGTTCATTAAGCAATTTTTAAAAAGCAGTTTGTCTTTTAAATGTGCCTGTTTAACCTCGGGCTGCAGAGGTGTGATGGAGCGTCATTTGGTGATGTTTGGAGGCATTTTTTTGTTTGTCATTCTTAGGGTGGGGGTGGATTTCCTACTGAAATCGAGTGAGTAGAGAATAAGGCTAAACATTCTGCAATGCACAAGACAACCCCCAAAAGAAAGAATTATACAATCCAAATAGTCCATAGTCATCACTTCTTGGCCTTTAGGCTAAGATCAAAATGTCCATAGTGGCACTGCTGAGAAACTCCCCCTTACCTGGGTGGAAATATTTCTAGGATTTGTCACTGTATATTCTATCAGGTTGTCAAATGTATCACTCAACACACAAGTTGTTGGCTCATAAGAAGCCATATCTGGACTTGATCATAATGATATCCCATTGCCAGGAGATTCTATATTTGAAGCTAGATTTAGCAGTTTTGACTGTCACCCATAAGGAAAAGATAAGAGAATTTGTACAGACAATAGTGCTTTGAAGACCTGGGGCAGGGAAGTGAGTGAGGTCAATAGGGGGAAAATGGACGTCTGTAATACTTTCAACAATAAAGATAAATCTAAAAAACAATTGGATATGACACAGAAGTTCTTAAAATATTGTTCACGTGGAAAAATATATGTATACTAGTGCCTGGATGCACGGATTTGTGCACATTGAAAGGGAAATAATTAGAAGAAATATTTTAATATTGCTATTTGCCCTTTCTCCATCAGTGCCTGGGAGCCAGTGGCAGCCCCGCCCCCCACCGCCGCTGCTGGTCACCATCTGCTGGTGATCACTGGGGCAGTTGGGCCCCCGCTCATACCCTCCTTGGCCTGGTGCTGCCTGCTCACCTGCTCCACCATTTCGCAGTGGTCCCACTCTCGTCGGGGCCCATTGGGGCTGGCAACACCTCCATTGCCACCAGCTGCCAGCCCCACCTCGCCGATGCCTGCCATGTTCCGTGCCACCCCCTGGTGGTCAGCGCATGTCATAGTGAGTGGTCGAATTCTCAGTCTCCTGGTCGAATTCCCGGTCGAACCACCGCCCGTGGGGGCATTTTGAATATTAGGCTTTTATTATATAGGAGACTGTGCATTCCCAGAGTGGGCCCTTGAGGATATTTGTTGTTTTTGCTACCTATAAATCATCCCCCACCCCTTAGTGACTAGAACTTTGTGTTTCTGATTGAACTGTAAATTATAGTGGTCCACCTTTCCAGCTAAAGAAGTGAACACATGATCCACAAATAGCTATACCTCATTCTCCTGGCCCAGAGATTATTCCAGATACGGTAACATGGCTAGATTAGTCCAATAAGAGCCTTTCCTTAGTATTTTTCTAAATAAATATGTTGGAGAATCTTCCCCTATGCTCTCTGATCTTTGATCTGGAGAATTTTTTTTTTAATATATAGAAGAATCTAACAAACTGGAACCTATACTCAGAGACAGGTAGAAATAGGATTCTAAGAGAAAGAATCATGGCAATATTGAATCTCAGTTCCAGTGTCTGTGATCTGAAGAACAGTCCTTCTTTGTTTTGTGAATTATATCATTTAACTTCTATTTAATCTTTTCTTTCCTTCAGTTTCCTGCCCATTATTACTTAGATTCCTGCCCATTATTACTCAAAGAATCTTGATGAATGTAACATTCTATGGGTATAATTTTTTCATATAACACTAATTTGAGCATCATCAAGAATAATTATCAGAGCATTTAAAAGAAGCCAAGGCTATATTCCAGATACTGCCATGCCACAGATCCTTCAGTCTTTCTAGAAACTTTCTGAGGCCTCCTATCACTGTAACTGAAATCATAGAACAAAGCTAACAGAGCTAAAAGTAACATTACGGCACCAACCAACTGCCACCCCTAGAGTAGCCCAATTAATTAAAATAAAATACAGCACCTCCTCTAAAACCACATGCTCTTATGTTTTCATTTCATTTCCTGACAACCTCCATCAAGGTTTAACTCTCAATCAAGATCTAAAGTGTACATATTTCCCTGACTCTTTCCCAAATCGTTTGCTTTGAAAGGTGTTCCCTTTTCTCCCTTTCTCTTGCACACAAATACAAATGAAGATATAGAAATATCTCAGTACTTTTATGCCACTTCCAAGCAAATTTTAAATAATGGCAGAAAGTTGATATTTAACGCAAAACATGTGAATTGACTTTCTTCTATCTTTTTGAATAGGGGGATGAAGTTTGCTGAACATGAAATCTCATAGTTTCCAGACATGCACAAATCCTTTCATCTGTAGTTAGTATAATGTCCTTCCCCAATTCTGCCTGTTGGTTAACCATTAAGCTATGGTCTCTTTGCAAGGCTCTGTGAATTATCGTTTTTGAAACAGAAGTGTTAGGTGGGCACTATATGGAAATATAATTTTTTGAAACCAGAGAAGAGTCTCTACTGCTTCTCTTCTCACTGTGGCTTGGTGGTTTTTCATGAGATTAAATGAAAACATAGGAGGGTGTGGTTTTAGAGGAGATGCTGCATTTTATTTTAATGGCTTCAAATAATGTCATCTCTATAACTCATCCTTAAATACTAATTTTAATATTCTTGTTATAACACTGGAGAGCATCTTTATCAGGTATGGCTTTATAAGATAATGTAATCTGAATTATTCCAAATATATTTAATTTATCCTTTCATTTTAAACTAATGACATATGTTTTTTTGAATAATAATAGACCCAGGTGGTTCAGTAAATCTGCGAGAATACAGAGCTTAAACTGCAGCCATACTTTTTAATTTAAAAATAAAACTAGTAAGTGATCAACCAAAGGTCTTGTATGCATACATATAAGCATAACCAATGGACACAAACCAGGGCGTGGGGGAGGCCGGGAGGAGGTCAATGGGGGAAAAAGGAGACATATATACTACTACTTGTAAAACTTTAAACAATAATAAAAATAAAATAAAAATAGAGTTTACCATGGGAGTTATAAATACTATTCCAAAGACACTGTGTAATACCTACTAATTTTGCTGGGTCACACACATAAAAGTGAATATTTATCAAATTATATACTCTACTAATTGACCAATAAATGTAGCTAAATAGCTAGGAATATAAAACTCACTGATACACAGTTCATCTTTTTTCAAACAACTTAAGTGAAATTCAAACAAACTGCCAGATGGAATCTGCTGAACCAAAAGCTGATTTTTGTCAAGTGTGTTTTTTGACTTGTTTGTTGTTGTTTGAGGGGTATAGTGAAGGAATTTAACAAAGCAAAAATGTTAGGCCATCCTGAAGAGATGTTATATTGTCATTCTCAAATTTGAAAGCTTTGAAGATATTGTAGGTACAGTGAACTACTTAAAATTCCTCAATCCCCACTTTGCAAGTGCTGAGTTAGGGCAGATTTCATAGCTCTAAAACTCGTCTTCAAGTGGAAGATGTGTGGATACCTACAATGGTTACTAGACAACAACAGCCTAAAGTACATAGTTCACATTTCTTATAATATGTGTTCTTCCATGTTGTGAACTAAATTGTGTCCCCTTCCCCCAAAATTCATATGTTGAAGCCTTGATTCCTAATGCAATTGTATTTGAAGATAGAGCCTTTAAGTAGATAATAAAGGTGAAATGAGATCATTGGTTAGGGCCCTAATCCGATAGGACAGGTATCCCTATAAGGCAGCAGTTCTCAACCTGTGGGTCGCGAACAGTGAAAATACATCCTGCATATCAGGTATTTACATTATGAATCATAACAGTAGCAAAATTACAGCTATGAAGTAGCAACGAAAATAATTTTATGTTTGGGGGTCACCACAACATGAGGAACTGTATTAAAGGGCCACGCGGCATTAGGAAGGTTGAGAACCACTGCAAGAGGAAGAGACACCAGAGATCTCTCTTCTCAAGAAGGCAGCCATCTGCAAACTGGGACAAGAGGCTTCACCAGAAACCAACCCTGACAACACTTTCATTTTGGACTAGAATCTAGCCTCTGCAACAATTCCAATTGTTTAAACACCCACACTGTGGTATTTCGTTTTGGCAAACTGAACAGGCTAATACACTTCACTTCTTATGTTTCTGATTTATTCAGTAATCACTTGCAATTATTTTGGCACATAATATCTTAAGGCATGTATCAGCGTGTTCATTGAACAAATATTTATTATCTACTGTATGCTAGAAATTGTTTTGATTCCAATGTCTTTGTTCTCTGTATTAGTCAGAGTTCTCCAGAGAAACGGGACCAATAGGATAGACAGATGATAGATAGATAGATAGATAGATAGATAGATAGATAGATAGATAGATAGATAATAGATAGATAGATAGATAGATAGATAGATAGATAGATAGATAGATGATAGATAGATAGATAGATGATAGATAATAGAACAAATTTGTTAGAGAAATGGGTTAATCCAATCACAGAGGCTAAGAAGTCCACCACACTTTGTCAACCGCAACCAGGAAAGTTGATGGTGTAATTCAGTCTAAGGCTGAAGGCCTGAAAATCAGGGGGATGCTGGTGTGAGTCCTAGAGTCCAAAAGTCTGAGAACCAAAAGTTCCATTGTCCAAGGTCAGGAAAAAATGAATGTCCCAGTTCAAGAAGAGAGAAAATTCACCCTTTCTTCACCGTTTTGTTCCATTCAAATCCTCAAAGGATTAGATGATGCCCAGCCACAGTGGTGAAAGCAGATCTCTTTACTCAGGGAACTTAATCAAATACCAAACTCTTCCTGAAACACCCTCACAGACATACCCAGAAATAGTGTTTTACCAGCTATCTGGACATCCTTCAGCCCAATCAAGTTGACACATAAAATTAACGTTTACCTTCTCCAAAAGATTCTGAAATCAGATGCTCCTTTCACTAGATTAGAGACACTGGAACTAGCCCACTGCCTTCCATTGTTCTCCCTTCTTTATAACCACCAAATTAGAGAGCTGAGCAATATCCACACTGCAGCCAAAGCAGATCAAAGTGTTATCTTCCTCCACCCCGGTCTTCTGTTAAGAAGGAGAAGGAAAGGAAATAACATTTACACAAGTACTTCACTAGATGTTTGTGTGCTTTATTTTACTTAGCAGATATACGGGGGGAAATCTCCAGAAATTGTATTATGCCATTGTGTTAATGTACCACAGCTTTTTTATCTGCTCATCTTCTGATGGGCACTTGGGCTGTTTCCAGTTTAAGATTACTCTATAGGATTAGAATTCAAAATGCCAGTAATTTTTTAAGTTTTAAGTTTAGAACTTTGGCTTCAAAAGATAGATTATGCTATCTCAACCATAATGATTTCTACCCCCATAACATCTCTACGGACTGCCGTGCATCTTGATATTCCATTACGCCTGAGCTATAACTTCATTTTTCCAATATCTTATGTGAAAATTGAGATACTAATGCAATCCAGTTGTCCAAGCTGGATGAAATATAGATGTGTAACTATAGTAATGGCTCCAAGTAACTGTTTACAGCATTCAAATGCTCATATCATCTAAGGAATGGAAGCAGTTAGAACTTTTCAGAAGCTTTTTTTCCCCATCACCATTTATCCCCTCTATGTCTTCTTCCACCCCCACCCATTCCCTCTCCTACCCCTGCAATCAACATACTATTGTCCATGTCCATGAGTTTTCTCTCCTTTTTCCTTTTTTTGTTCAATCTCAACATCCTCCGGTCTCATCAGAGCTGTGTATCCGGCTCTCTATCTATGAGTATGTCTCTATTTTACTTGGTAGTTCGGTTTGTTCATTGAATTCCACATATAAGTGAAATTATGTGGTACTGCCCTGGCTGGTTGGGCTCAGTAGTTAGAGTGTTGGCCTGAGGACTGGGGGGTCACAAGTTCAGTTCTGGTCAAGAACATGTGCCTTGATTGCAGGCTCAGTCCTCAGTCCTGGCCCTGGTCGGGGTGAGTGTGGGAGGCAACCAATCAATGTGTCTCTCCCACGTCTCTCTCTCTCTCTCTCTCTCTCTCTTTCTCTCTCTCTCTCTCTCTCTCTCTCTCTCTCTCTCTCTCTCTCTCTCTCTCTCCTTCTCTCTCTCTCCCTCTCTCCCTCCCTTCTATTCTCTCTAAAAAATTAAAGGACAAAATATATTTGGGTGAGGATTATGAAAGAAAGAGAAGAAGAAGAAAGAAAGAAAGAAAGAAGAAGGAAGGAAGGAAGGAAGGAAGGAAGGAAGGAAGGAAGGAAGGAAGGAAGAGAGAGAGGAGAGAGAGAGAGAGAGAGAGAGAGAGAGAGAGAGAGAGAGAGAGAGAGAGAGAAGGGGGAAAAAATCATATGGTATTTGTCTTTCTCTGACTGGCTTATTTCACTTAGCATAATGTTCTCCAGGTCCATTCATGCTGTCATAAAGGGTACAATTTTCTTCCTTTTTACAGCAGAGTACTATGTCATCGTGTAAATGTACCATATCTTTTTTATCCATTCATCTACTGATGGACACTTGGGCTGTTTCCAGATCTTAGCTATTGTAAATAACACTGCAATGAACATAGGGTTGCATATATCCTCTCGAATTCATGCCTTGTGTTTCTTTTGATAAATTCCCAGAAGTGGAATCGCTGGGTCATTTAGTAGCCCACTTAAACTCTAACTTCCATGGCATCTGCTATTTTCTCCTCAATCAGTAGATAATATATAGCACAGTGGTAACTTTGAAATCTGGTCAATTTTGTTTTCTGTGTTTAGCTTTATAAGCATTTGAAAATGCTCTAAACCATGAGCACATGTCCATAATCTTAAATATGTAATAAATATAAATCTTTCATCTGCATTACACATAGTAACTTAGAATAGGTTATATGTAAGACAAATCTTCAGTTCATGGAACTGTACTTATAGCAAGAAACAAATATATATCTGTTAACAAGTTCAATTTGGAGTCCTAAACTACTTATCCTAGGCCATAAATACCAGGCAATCTTTTAGGTTGCCAAATTTCTGGAACTCATTCAAAATTTCACAAGCTCTGAATTCCAAATGATATTTCCCATCCTCTTAATTTGTTTGGGTTGGAAAGAAATTGACATTTCCAACATATTTCTACTTAAATTTGTGTTTTCTGCTATGTAAACATAATTTCTCATTTTGGAGAAAATCAGCATTTTTTACTCCAAATAGCTCTCGTGGAAGCAGTAGCTGTTCATGAAGATGTGCTTGGTCCAAAAGGCAAAACTAAAATCTGAGTGAGGATAATAGAGCTCACATGACATGTCAGGTCTTTAAATAATTAAACTCCATTTAAAACTTCTCATTTCTTTTTTTCAGTTGGTGTACAAAGGAATTAAGCTGGTAGAAAGATTGCAATGCATTTACTTTTTTTATAGGTTTGTAAGTGTTGGATTTTTTCCCCCCAAGAACAGTTTGTTCTCTTAATGATCTAAGAAGTGGAGAAGTAAAGAGCCTTAAGAGATGGGGGTGAGGGGAAGGGAGAAAAGTAAGAAAAAACAACAGTGCAATTTTTTGAACATTTTAAGCATATAATACTTTTCCAAAAACACTTATTTGTTGATCAATCATGTCTTTGTTTTAAATGAAAATTGTATTAGTCAGCCCTGGGTGCCATAGTGAAATACTATAAATTGGGTGCTGTAAATACAGAAATGTATTTCTCACAGCTCTGGAGGTTGTTCAAGATCAAGGTCTGGCAGGGTCAGTTTCCGGTGAGGACTCTCTTCCAAGTTTGCAGATGGGCACCTTCTTACTTTGCCCTCATAAGGTGGAATGGGAGAGAAAGAGAGCACTCCAGTGTCTCTTCCTATAAGAAGTTGTCTCGTGGTCAATGGTTTAACCAGAATGCTCTTGCACTATCCCTATAGGTCAAAAGGAAGTACAGATTATTTGTTAATACTTAGGATTATGGGAGCTTTCCTGTCCTGCTTTGTGGAGATTGCAAAATTGTGCAGCACAGTCTCAAGAAAATCCTTCTATATAAAAACCTATAAACACAAGATATATGTTGAACATTTCAGTATATTAATTTCTTCAGGCCATTCATGCTCCACACTGGATTATTTTAGATATAGGTTCAACAAAAGATACCCTCAAAAGAACCAAGTCAAATAACAAATATTTCCTGATCCCCTATTATGTGAAACCATTACCAGCTATTATAGGACAGCTCTTCTACAAGATCTATATGGCTATTTCCAATAGTTTGTAGCACCAATAAACACCATACATCCAAAGCTTTGTGTAATGACTACATTGTTGCACATGAGGTTTTCTTCACTGTGTCCTTTATTACTAACATAAAATGAAAGAGCTGTTGTTGCAAGGAAAGAAATGGATTAGGCAGCAGTATACAATGCATACAAAGGAAGTACAAGTTCTCCTTCCAAATATTTACTTAAAATGTCAGTAATTTTATCTTCTCTGTTTCTCTTTCCCCATAGTAAAAAAGCACAAAGGCTAAGGGAAACATTTTGTATTATATAATGTTCCCCAAAGTTAGCTCCATGAGAAGAAAACATGATTGTACTTTACCTGGGTTCAAGAGAAGATTCTCTAAAGAATACCTGTTTCTTAAGCCCTGATTCTCCCATTAGCTAATAATATGAACTTGTGTTGGTCATTTTTCAGTTCTTTCACATATACACTAGAGGCCCAGTGCATGGATTCGTGCACATTGAAAGGAAATTAATTAGAAGAAATATTTTAGAGGCCGGGGAGGGGCCACGGGAGGGCTCCAGGGTATGTCTGGCCTATCTCACCCAGTCCCAATCGGCTGGACCCCAGCAGCAAGCTAACCTACCAGTTGGAGCATCTGCCCCCTGGTGGTCAGTGCATGTCATAGCAACTGGTTGAACGGTCAGACACTTAGCATATTAAGCTTTTATATATATAGATGGCTTTGATTGACAAAATATCACCCATCTCTTTCAGTTGTGGAATGCTACATTCTGGTTTGTAAATTTATTTGTAGTCCATGTAAGATGTAATTTCTACCCTATATCATGGTCAAAAACTCATAACAATGTGTCAAAAGTTTAATACCTGCTTGTAATTTTTAAATTGTTTCTCCTAAGAGAAAAAAATAGAAGCACTCTATGGTAAGAGTTAAAATTATTTTCCTCTCAGGCTGCATGTGAATAATAATTAAGTTATTCAGTATCCCAGGTTTTCAAAGTGCTGACATATCTCAAGGGAAAGCCTGGACATTTTAATTGCCTCTGTTATACAAAGCCTGCTCCGTGTGTGTGTATTGTCAGAAAGTGCTACAGTAGTGTTACTCAAATGTTTTTGAGGCCCCAGGGTTTCCCTATACAAGTACTAGTGGAAGTATAAGCTTGGAGACTGGGTTTATGTCAAAGATCATATTTTCTTCCCATACATATACATCTCTGAGAATTAACGTTTGTAAATGTTTATTTAAAAAAAAACAACCTTAAAAACTGGGGATGTGGTAATATATTAAAATTGTATTCCACAAAACAAAATGTTTTTCCCCTAAGTTTCCAGACTTCTCATATGCCACATTTTTCAACCTTAGCATTCGCAATTTGCTTTTCACTTTCTGAATGTTACTTCTGGTAAGACATGGCATTTTGTCCTTGAGAAGTGAGTGCAAGTTACTATATTTTCCTTCTCAGCCATCTCATGAGACAGGCAGTAAAATGCCAAGAATAATGTAAACTATACAGGGAAATATCATGACGTACTACACCTAGAAATATCTCAGCTTAATAGGTGTTGTACCATTAAAGGTGAATTTTATGGAGGTAGAGAGATATAAATCTGTCATGTAGACAAAGATTTACAATAATACCCACTTCAGTGGATGATTTTCATCACAGTTAGGACCATCAGGCAACTTGCATGTTTTCTTAAGTCCTTTAAAGTTATGAAGGCCTTCACATATTAATCCAAGGTTGGTACCATGGCCTTCCTGGAGCTGATGCTGATGAGGTATTTTGTCACTCTTCCTTTCCATTATTACTGATGTGATTTCAGTTGGTGGGATGGTATTTTAGTTAAATAAAATTGATTTAAAACTCTGGTCAGACAACTTAATTTAATAATAATTTTCTACAAACAATGCATTTTTATTTTTGCTACAGTATCAATATATGTTTTTATAACTCATATCTAGACATCGACTTCATTTTCAAAAATATACACAATATGTCACTATGAAACATATTGTATTTTGTATTTTTACACTGATTTCACAGATGTAACAGAAAATTGAGTGATAATTTTGTTAACTCTTAATGCGAAGTCACTGAAAAGCAAACCATCTTATTCAGTAAGCTACTGACAAATTTGGAAAAACCACTGCATTAATAAAAGAACAATTAAAAACAATAGCTCCAGACTTACTGTTAATGAAGTAAAATATTATTTTAACAAAGTACATATATCACTTTTTAGCTCTTTTGATTACAAATTTGAATTTTAACTAAAAATGCTAGATAAACATAAGATTACATTTAAAACCCATACTCCACTCATCTCACTTTATGTACCTGGATACTATAAAAGACATGAATAAGAATATATTATAACATATTTCTATAATATTTATTAAATATGTATGTTTAAATATTTTAAGTGAGTTTGCCAGGTCATTTTCTACCTTGGAGCTCTAACTTCATAAGTTTCCAAATGCTGCTTTTAGATAATATCCAAAAGTTTAAGGTAAAACTACATAGAGACATTTGACATGCTTATGTGTACTGCAGAATATATAAGTGGTAGAAATGAAATAGTGAAACGACAGTTTTAGGCACAGCTGCTGTCACTGGGACTGGATGCCCACAATAGGGCATAAGCCTTACCAGGACCCAGGGTTCTCAAGGTTGCTGGTAGACTGGTATTTTCCCAAGGGCAAGAACATGAGTGACTCTCTTCCTATCAAAAAAAAATAGGGCTTAACCGGTTTGGCTCAGTGGATAGAGCATTGGCCTGCAGGCTGAAGTGTCCTGGGTTCAATTCCGATCAAGGACACGTACCTTGGTTGCAGGCTCCTGGCCCTGGTAGGGAGCATGCAGGAGGTAACCAATCGATGTGTCTCACTCACATCGATGTTTCTCTCGGTCTCTCCTTCTCCCTTCCACTTTCTCTAAAACTCAATGGAAAAAATATCCTCGGGTGCGGATTTAAAAACAAACAAACAAACAAAAACATAGGTATGAGCCTAGACTAAAATGAAGTAAAGCCAAAACTCTGCAGAAAGAAATGTCCTCAGATTAGTTTCATTTCCCTCCACTAAAGTGACAATGCATATATAGTCCAGTTTCCTAGCAAATACGGGCATGAGTCCTAAGAGAATATGATGTAAAAAGATCGATCTGCATTGGTCTTCAATGGGACATTGACCAGGAGAAGAGCTGCAGGAGGATGTAAACCAAGGACCACCTCCCTCTTCAGCCCGGACCCAAGACATGGGGAGGAAGAGTCAGCCCCTATATCACTCACTACCCAGGGGCATTATTTTTGTTTTTTAAACTAAATTTATTTATTATTTAGAAGATGTGATATGATGTGGATAAAACATGCTCCCTTGTGAAACATACTAAATAGCATTCTCTATAGAGGAAAGTTGGTTGAAATTTCCCAGGTATTAAACTTGTAATGCAAGCTAAGCTAATTGAGATACTCTAAAAGCTACTACCTGGTGAATGCATGACAGTCAGCATAAAGGATTCAGCATTTCCAGAGATTTTTGTAATGTGTTTTAAAATATTTAAGATCTTATTTAATTTTTAATTATTCAATTTTATTAAACCTAATTATAACTTTTTTCACAGATAATAAAATGACACATAGTTACTGAGGAAGACATGGTATTAACACATGGAATTAGCACCTTAGACTTCTACTCCTCCTGTTCAACCCAACCCATAGAGGAAAATATGTTGTTCACACTTACATCTATATTTTAGGTAGCAGACATTTAGGGATTTGGCCACAAGCATTTTGTTTCTGTCATATATAAATTTGTTTTGGGAGATTTAGGATGAATAATAATGAGCAGGGATGATATGACAAATTCTGCTTATTCCATTAGCCAGCTTAATAATTTAGATTTATATTAAAATAAACTTACTCTTCTTGTTTTATGTACACATAGTTTGTATTGTCAGCACTAATTATTTAACTTTGTACATATTCAGTTAAAGAAATAGAATAAAATATTCATGACTTATGTAGGTATAAATTTTTGTATTTAAATTGAAAGAAAAGTAGTATAAAAAGATACAGATCTGTTTAAAATCTATTCTGCTAGGACAGTGGTCAGCAAACTCATTAGTCAACAGAGCCAAATATCAACAGTTCAACGATTGAAATTTATTTTGAGAACCAAATTTTTTAAACTTAAACTATATAGGTAGGTACATTGTTATTAACTTAATTAGGGTACTCCTAAGGCTTAGGAAGAGCCACACTCAAGGGGCCAAAGAGCCACATGTGGCTGGCGAACCGCAGTTTGCCGACAACGGTGCTAGGAGAGGCAAAAAAAGAATTGCCTATTTAAATGAAGGGATACAAAATGCAGCTAGTTAAACCTTATTTTAGAGATCCACAATACTGCATTTGCACTTTAAAATTTCCTAAAAATTATGCTGAAGAATCCCTTTTTACTAAGTCTAACCCCGGACATTGATAATTCATTTAACCATAAAACTCTTTTGAAAATCTATTATCAAGACATTTTGAAGTGTTACTCTAATTAATGTTATTTAAAAGGGTGGGTTTTTTTTTTTTATAAATATGGGCTTTAAGAGGAAGTTTAATAGAGAAAACACTTGCACATATTTTAAATATATAATACACAATCCTAAATATTTTATTGAACCTATTGATTCAGTTGAAATGTTTCTCTTTTGACAGGATTCACATGTAAACCCTAACTTAATTTCTTTATAATTCCAAGAAGCAAAAACATTCACCAACATCAATAAATGAAAAATGCGTAAAGTAACCACACTGCATAAACCTTTCTTTGATCACTGTTCTTTCAAACCATCCACTTATCTAGAGCAGGAAGTAACACCACATAATTAGCAAGGCAACCAGAGTATTTTGCTTATTGTCAATAATGCCACTTCCAGTTATAATAAATGGAACACTGCTAATCACTATTCACATTTCTCCCAACCCAACATACCCACAAGATCCCATATATACATTAAGGAAGTAATGTAATCTTCTATACAACAACATTCAGAATTACAATTATCTTACTGAAATGAAATTTTGAATTTGATTTTAACCAAAGAATCTTGTTCAAACTTTAATAATTAACAGAAATCCTTAAAGCCTGACTCTCAGGGGTCCAAGGATTGTCTCCAGAGGATCTGTGCACCATCTGAGATTTTATGCAAATATATATATATATATGATATATCAACATCTAGAACTGGGTTCATCATTTTAATAGTATTAGAGTTTTAGGAAGCCAAATAAGTAAGTTACACTGTTATTCCACATATAAGTTCAGAAGCAACCAAGAGGAAAACACAGGAGTCAGGTAGATGGACACTCCCAATTTGTTACTGATAAAATTGTCTGGATAATATTCAGATTAAGAACTGCATGGAGATCAGTAGATTAGGCTTTAAGACTGTGCAAAATGTTGCTGATGAACTTGCATCCACTTAGTGTAAGAGTGGCTGAAAAAAGTTCATCTAGCAATTAAAAGAAAAGATAGGGAACTTACCTTTATTTAGCAGGGTTCTGAATGGGAAAGACGATGATGATGATGATGATGACGATGATGATGATAAAAACACTACTAGTAAAATCTCCCTTGGATACTTGCCATAATAAATCTACTCTTATTCTGGGATTCACCAACACCACAGTTGGGAAAACCTAAAACTGAGAAATTAAAATGGACCCAGATTCTTTACATACCTGGTACTCATCAGAAAAGCAAAATCAAATCCTCTTTGGAAATAAACCTGCAATCCAGTCCCCAGTACCTACAAATTAAGTACAGTTCACAATAAAAACTCAACAAATTAACGAAAAAATAAGCCACTCTGAGTGAAAATCATTGAAAAAATTAAAACCAGCTTTAGATTCTCCAGTAACTTCAGAAGATGTTAATATATGATATAGAAATTAAAATTACTTATAAAATGTTTAAGGAAAACAAATCCACTCTTTGATTTCTATGTCCAACACTTTGCCTAATAAAATTCACCACAGAATATATCATGGGATCCAGGGATTGAAAAACTATTTCCCATAAGCCAAATCTGGTTGTGTCCATTTATTTACATCTATCTATAACTACATATGACAGATTTGAATAATCATAAACAAAGATGCATGGACCTCAAAACCTAAAATACCACTATCTGGCCCTTTACAGAAAAAATAATTTACCAAACTCTGGCCTAAACAAATACTTAAAGATAGTCAAATAATAAAAAAGGAAAATAATATAGAGATCCCCACATTTATTATAAACTCCTGTTTATGATCATACTAGAGGCCCATTGCAGGAAGATTCCTGCAAGAATAGGGCTTCCTCAGGCCTATTCCTGCAAAATTAGGGCTTCCTGAGGCCAGAGCGAAGCAGAGAAGGGAGCGAAGCCCGCCGCTCCCATCTCTGCTGCCTCGCTCCCTCCCATCTCTGCTGCCTCGCTCCTTCCTGTCTCCGCCGCCTCGCCTCCTCCCCTCTCCACTGCCTCGCTCCCTCCCGTCTCTGCCACTTCGCTCCCTCCTGTGTCCGCTGCCTCAGATCCCTCCTGTGTCCACTGCCTCAGCTCCGTTCCCTTCTCCGCCGCTTCACTCCCTTCTGCAGCGGTTGGCTTCCTTCTACGCTGTCTTCAGTCTTCGCTCTGTGCCTGTTTATGCAAATTAACCGCCATCTTTGTTGGTTAATTTGCCTATCGCTCTGATTGGCTGGTGGGCATAGCAGAGGGATGGTCAATTTGCATGTTTCTCTTTTATTAGTGTAGATGCCTACAGCAAAATTACATTTTCAAAACTAGAGTAACAAAGAAAATTAAAGACTCCTAAATTTCCCTAAAATTCCTTTTGTTACATATGGGTATAGTAATTATTTTCTCCAACTCTGTGGTTGCTCTCATTGATTATTATTATAATAACTATATTAAAAATAAATTGTATTTACAAAAAAATTTAATGTACAAAAAATGTGTGTTTTTTAATTTTTACCTACTTTCAGGATAAGCAGATTAGACAAAATACACAAACAGCTATATATCTTCCCCTCTCACACTTGTATTCAATTGACTAAGCCAGCTTTTAGAAACTCTCCCCCACTTCTTTTCTTATGAAATAAGAATTACATTCTTATTTTCATTCTAATTTACATTCTAATTTTCAATGAGAACACAGCTCAGTGAGTCAAAGAATATGATATGTTCATATAATGTTATATTTTATTGCTTTTTCTTGTACATTAGTAGCAGTAAAATGTTTTTATTGATCAAAAGAAACATCTTACCAATCAGAAACAATGTATGCACCCCTATGTTCATAGCAGTGCAATTTACAATAGCTAAGATTTGGAAACAGCCCAAGCACCTAAGCAGATGAGTGGGTAAAAAAGCTGTGGTACATTTACACCATGGAATACTATGCAGCAGTAAAAAAGAAGGACCTCTTACCATTTGTAACAGCATGGATGGACCTGGAGAGTATTATGCTAAGTGAAATAAGCCAGTCCGAGGAATATAAGTATCACTTGATTACACTCATATGTGGAAGCTAATGAACAAAATAAAGTGAGGAACAAGATCCAGAAACATTGAAGCATCGAACAGACTGACAAATTTCAGAGGGAAGGCAAGGTGGGAATTGAGAGTGATTAACTGGGGAACTTATATGCATACTAGAGACCCAGTGCACGACATTCGTGCAGGGGGATGGGGGGACCCCTCAGCCTGGCCTGTGCCCTCTCACAACCCAGGACCCCTCAGGGGATGTCCAACTGCTGGTTTAGGCCCAACCCCTGCAGTTGGACATCTGGCAGTCAGACATCCCTCTCACAATCCCCTCACAATCCCGGACCACTTGCCCCTAACCACTCGCCTGCCTGCCTGCTAAGTGTGCTTCATAGGGTCTGGTCATTCCGGTTGTTCCAGTCATTCCACCTTTACAGTTGCTTAAGCTTTTTTATATATAGACTAGAGGCCTGGTGCACAAAAATTTGTGCGCTCGGGTGGGTCCCTCAGCCCGGCCTGTGCCCTCTCGAAGTCTGGGGCCCCTCGGGGGCCCCTTCCCCTGGCTGCTGGCAACAGTTTTCCTCCAGCGCCCAGAACCCAGGCCTTCACTCTTCGCCAGAAGGGGCCAGCGTGGCGGGCTTCGCTCTTCGCTTTTTGCTGGCCACTCTGGTCCCGGGGGCGGTCTTAGCGGTGAGCTCTTCGCTCACCGCGCGGGCCCCAGGGGCGTGGCTGAGGCCGACACAGCAGGCAAGAGCCTTAGCTCTTCGCTCGCCACGCTGACCTTCGCTCGCTGCTCCTGCCTGGGGCCAGCCAGCTTCACTCCATCACTTGGCGCCTACATATGCAAATTATCTGCCATCTTTGTTGGTGGCTAATTTGCATATTGCCCTGATTAGCCAATGGGAAGTGTAGCAAAGGTACAGTCAATTACCCTTTTTGTCTTTTATTAGATAGGATATGCATAGCCCAAGGATACAGACAATAGAGTGGTGAAGGTCTGGGAGGGGTGGGTGTGGAGTAGAGGGAGTCAATGGGATAACAAACAAAGGGGACAACTGTAATCCTTTCAACAATAAAGATTTTTTTAAAAGAAACATCTTAGTGGGTCAAGTTGATAGAGAATTTTCTGCTCAGAATTTTCTGCATCCTTACAGATCCTTTCTTACATGATAAGCAAAGTCTGGAATGAGTACATATATGCCAATTCCAGTTAGCAGCCATGTGTAGCCCATAGAAATTCCGTTGGCAAGAAACCTGCGTAGTCTACTTGCCAGCTGTAGGGACAGTGGACCTTGTGCTCAGGAAACTTTGCCTGCAGTTATGTGTGGGTGACTTCTTTCCTGTGGACGTCAGTCTCTTCAGGTGCAAAAGAAATGTATTGTCATTGGCCCAACCATTCATGACACGAGCACCTATGTTTGATTCTGTAAAACCAGATGACTTGCTTTAAAGTTCTGACCAAGGCCTCATTTATCCTTTTCCCTCACACTTCAGATCTTTTAGGTTTTTGTTCAATTATCCACTTCTCAGAGCCTTCCTTGACTTCTTTATATGATCAAATGTTATTCTCACCCACCATTTCACACACACTGCCACCATTCCCAGCATGCTTTATCTCCCATCATCTTGTTTTATTTTCTTCTAAGACATTTTATCCCATCAAACTTATTACATTTATTTTGTTTTTATTCCACTCCCCTCACTAGAATGTTATCACTATCCCAACAAGAACATGTTCTTGCTTGTTCACTACTGAATCCTTTGTGCCCTGATGCCTAGCATATAGTAGATAGATCTTCAATGGTAAATGAAAAGATATTAGTAAGTACAGGAATTTTTCTGACTAAAAATCACCCTTGCAAATTCATTAATTGAACCTGCAATAGGTGTTGCCAACGCCTGTACTGCCTACTGCTAACCTAATGAAAGCCAAAACCAGTTTCAGCCCTTGAATAGCATCTCTTTAGGCTGCATCTTTTTCTGTAGTGCTGGGATACCCCTCTACTGGTTTTATTTACCTTTCTACTATTTCCACGCTCTTACAGGAAGGCATAACTGAGCTATAATATTTTAAACTCTATCTTAAATAGATCCTCTTCCTCCTCTTTCAAATATAAACTTGTTTCTGAATCTGCCTGTTTTCTTCCCTTTTACTTTGATTTCTCATACAGTTATTTATTTCCCTAACATATCTTTCTATATTTTCCCTGTGGGATAGTGAAAGAAGTAAAGCAAGTGAGTTCTAGGTCTGCTACAAACATCTATTGTTTGAGCAAATCTTTTCCATCTCATCCCATCAGTGTACCAGTGGTTAACTACACAAACTCTGGAGGCAGGCTACACCAATTCCAGTTCCGGCTCTACAATTTACTAACTGTATTGCCTTGGACAAGTTCATTAACATTCCTATACCTCAACTTTCACAGCGATAAAATGAAAGTGATAAAGATATATCTGTCATGTAGGACTATCTTAAAGATTAGATGACTATTATATATAAAATACTTGGAACAACACTTGGCACACGGTAGGCATTCTACAACAGATAGCTATCCTTCTATATAATAAAATCCTAATATGCTAATTGTCCCCTCAGGCAGTTGTTCAACCAGGAGTTCGACCACTTGCTATGACATGTACTGACTTCCAGGGGGCATCAAGGAATATGGTGGGTGTCAGCGATATGCCATGACCTCTCACCAGCTACCTGGGGGTAGGGGTGATGGGGCCGGAGGTGCGGTGAGAATGTGGGGTGTCTGCCAAGCTCGCTTTCACTCCCCCTGCTACCTTCCCCTGGGAAACCAGGGCTCACATGCCGGGGAAGTCCCCCCACACTCAGGTACCAGGCACCTGTGAGGACCCCACCCCACACCCGCACAGCCCGTATCAGTGAGCTGGGCTTCAGCCACCAGGACTACAGGGGCTGGTCAGACTCCCCATGGGTTCGCGCAGGAGCCAGTCTATGAGGCCGGCCGGGATAGAGCGTGCTGCCCGTTTGGCTTCCATGTAGCACTGCTGGGTGGCCCAGAGGCCCACACTATACCCTGGCCCACGGCATCCAGCTGTGCTCACCACATTTCTGTGTGGGGACTCGGGCACTATGACTCAGGCAGAGGGGGGATGCACTAGGGCCCAGGAGCCCAGGTGCTGCCCAGGCCCAGAAGTCAGCTGGGACCTGCCCTCCCATGCCAGACACTCGCACTTCAATCACTGTCTAGGCCAGCCGTGGGCAAACTACAGCCCGTGGGCCGGATCCGGCCCGTTTGAAATGAATAA